CAAATGTCCCAAAGCAGTCATGTCAAAACGTTGCCTCAATTGAAGCACAAAATAATTGTTTGAGGGTACAATTGAACTTGCCACGTGGAGAGTTAGGAAAGATCAGTTAGTGAAAGTCTTTCCCTAAAATCTCGGACATAACATGACCGACCTTGAAGCTCGACCAAGAGGTGACCTATAAGTTCAGTCAAACTCCACTTGGTCGAAGGAAATTCCATGCTTCGACCTAAGGGACCCGACAGTTGATAAATCTCCAAAAGAGAGTTAGTATAGTGATTATTTGAGTGATTTTATACAAAGAAATGTCAAAGTGTGTCTATTTTAGCTCTTAAACATCATGAATTTCGAGCTAAAGTCTCATGTCTTGAATGCTTTAACTAAATATTGTGCTAAACTCTCATATTTTTTGCTTAATTGCGCAGGTTTGGAAGGAGAAGACAAGGCATGAAGAAAGTGTTGAGTCCATAAAAGAGTAGATGATGCATGTTCAAGGTAGGGCAGAAGAAAGCTGGAGCGAAGAATCGTTGGAGCATGGATTTACAGCACAGTAACTATCCCAAACACGGGAAACTTACCATGCCTGTATAATCTCCAATTGGGTGCCCTAAAATGGGGACCCAATATAAAAGGGACATTATAACTTAGCCGACACACACAGATCCCAAGAGACACATTTTTTAGTGTTGGAAAAGACAAGGAAGAGGAATCTCACCATTTTCGGAGGAGGGTTTACGACAGAGGAGAATATTCGGGTGTTGCTGCGAGCTGTCATCTCCACCTTCGGTTTTCTTCTCTTTTCTCTAAATGGGTTGTAATACTTTTTTACCCATTATGTTTTCTTCTTCCTCCATGAGCTAAACCTCATTTTGGGGGAGATTTGCGTGTTGTAACTAATGAACAACCGAAACTCTAACTGATTTCCATTTGTTATTAAATAGAGCTGTGTTTACTTCTTGAATCTTATTGAATATTGTTGGTCACTCTGATTTGTATGCTAGCATTTGTATGACCCGAGAGGGCTTACGGGTAGCTGACTTGCTCTATTTGTGATTGGCTACTTTTTTCTAGTAGTGTCGTTGATACTAAGGAATGAGGTCCCGTAATCATGCTTAGAACTTGTGTTTATTGCTTGGATATTTAACAATGGGAGTTGTAGATATTCATGTCTAGATATTTTTGTTATTATGTGTTGTAGCTTCTTCTTATTAGCAACATTTTAAAGCGTGTTCAGGATCTTTTATTGTTTATTTATGATATTTTTCTTTACTTTCGACACAATCATCTATATTTTATTGTACTTTTGGTATCCTCAAGCATAGTTTAGAAAATTTTCCTAAGTTTTTGTGGATTCGACCTCATTTCATACTACAATCGATAGATATAGTGTACACTTGCATGTATATCCAACACGGTTGTGTGGACGCAACAAGTTTTCGGCGTCGTTGCCGAGGACTTAGTTGATTTTATTTTTAGCCATAGTGATTGAGGATACGGAGCTTAATCGAGTTTTCTCTTTCTCACATTTGTGTGTGGTTGTAGATGCATAAACGATTTCGAAAGTTTGGAGTATATTATTGATCACGAGATAGAGCACACATTCGATAGGAATCGAAGAGAACAAAAGAGAACCCAAGCTTAAGCAAATATGAATCTGCCTAACTGTTGCGTCCACACAACTATGTTGAAACACGTGCAAGTATACACGATTCGTCGGTTGTAGTACGTATCAAGGTTGTATTTTAACGATAAAAGCAAATACCAACAAATAAAAATATACAAAGATTGGGTGTGGATATTGTCTAGAAAAAATAAAATAAAGTAATAACAAGACGACAGAAACTTGCAAGAGACAATAGTTCCAAGCTGTCAACACAAGAAAGAATAGCACAGAAAGCGATACGGGGGAATAATAGATATGGAAAAGGCGGGGGAGATTCAGCATACTTTCACAGGTTATCAACCTACCCTCTAGCGTAACTAACATCTATTAGTGCCCAGCTCAACTCGATTCCCTTCCGAGACACCTCAAACATGAGTAAGTACAACACCCGTTACTAAATACCCAAGCAATAAACCAAAGCTATAGGCATGATTAGGGGACCTCATTCCTGAGTATCCCTATAGCTATAGAAAAGTGCTAATCACTAGCAAAACAAGTCAGCACCCACAAGCCCTTCCGGGTCAATATCGGAGCTAGCATACACGAAACAGTGGCCAACAACAGTAACGTGAAGAATTGAGAAATAAATTCAAATTTGCTTAAAAATAAATATAGCGTGCTAGAGATTCGGTCTCAAGTCAGTTACAGTGTGTGAACTTCCCCCGAAATGGGTTTAAGCTTATAATGGGTGAAGAAAACAAAATGGAAGAAGAAGAAATACAACCCATAGCAGAAAATTAGCTAAATGACAGAGAAGAAGAGCAGTCAACGTAAAGCAGCAGACGAGCTTCCCCTTTCTGGCGTCAGCTCTCCTCCCGAAAATGAGTATCTTCCCTTCCTTGGTCTTTTCAGCCCGCAAATTTTGTCTCCCTTGGCCTTTGTGTGTGTAGCGACTAAGGCAACACTCCCATTTTATATTGGGTTCTAAATTTAGGGCACCCACCCGAAAATTGTACGGACACAGTAAATCCCGTGTTTTTGGAATTAACTGTACGGTCACTCCATGCTCTGGCATCGCTATACTCTAGCTTGTATATGCTCTATTTTGAAAATGCTTTGACTGCTCTTCTCTAGTTCAACACTTCCTTCTCTTCTTAGCTCTTCTTTAAAAATCTGTGCAAATGAACCACAAATATGAGAGTTTATGCTGTTTTTGGCCAAAGTTATCAAGACTAAGGATATTTAGCTAAGAATTTAAATTTTAACACTATTCATGCTAATTATGACATACAACCGACACACTTTGACATTTTAATGCACATTTTCACCCAAATAAATACCAGAATAACTCTCTTTTGGAGAGTTATCACACCCCCAAATTTAAAATCTTGCTTGTCCTCAAGCAAGAGCATACATTTTTCCCTCTTTTCACAAAAAAAGAACGTTAGAAACCTGCACTTCAAACATTCAGTTCTATGCCTCAAACCTTTACCTTGATCGTCAATGCTAGAACTTACATATTCTGCTATAGTGCTTCAGTTGGGGCAAAGAAATGAAAGTAGCCTAGATTTGTTCACACTCTGGAAGACGCTATTTTCTGCCCAACTCTAGCTTCCTTCTACTTCCCAACCTCAAGCTTAACTTCTCCTAGAGATTCATTTCTCAAGCCCCTTTTACTAGTCTAAACCTTTAAACCTTGTACTACTCACTTGGGCTTCTTAACCATGGGCTACTAGCCCTTCCTGATCCTGAAGCCTCTTTGTGCTCTAGATGTGGGCTACTAGCCCCTCCTTTATTGAGTTTTTTTTTAGGGCTAAATTACAGGATTAGAAAGATTCATGATTCTATACAATTGCTAATAAAGACGTAAGAACTGAACGTTCACTCCCCCAAACTTAAAAAGTTGCAGTGTCTTCAATGCAGCTAAGGACATCTAGATTGTAATGCTCTAACACACCCCCAAACTTAAAGTACGACTAATATGAGCCTGAGAGGAATGGTCGCTAAGTGTATACGTAGATGAGTAAGGGGTGCTTGCTACCAACTAGGGGATCTTAAAGAAAGAGGTTCATGCTAGCTATACAAAGATAAGGGTGGCTTTGGATAGATAGCCATTGAAATTCCTCCCTAGAGTAAGCGCTACCTGGGGCCAGTACTACGAGAGGGATGCTAGGGCATGGGCATGAAACATGAACTAGAAGATGAACAAAAGAAAGCTAACACTCATTAAAATGCTCCAGCATCAACAGAAAAACTGCGCACTAGCAGGCTCTAGCATCAATACTATACATACGGGGTAGGGCAAAAGACAGACGTTGAGAACACAGGATTTGCTAACTTCTTTGCATTAAATTCAGGGGGATTCACATACTGATCTACAAAAAAGAAAAAATATGCAAAGACGATTTGAAAGATAGAAATTTAAAATGCATGAATTAAAACTGAACTAAACTAGACTAAGGAAAATAAAAAGTAACAACAACTGGGGGTGGGGGTCATTTTTCAGAGTAAAAAGGAAAGGAACTTCCCTCTCGCGGGTCAAGCATGTCAATATTTTTTGCCTTCTTTTCCATCCAACGAGTCGCTCGTGGGCTGATCTTCCTCTCTAGATCCATTGTCTTCTTCCCCCTCTTTGCTGCTGGGGCATGCTCCTATGAAATAGCTACAGCATACATCTTCCCCTCAGTTGGGGACACGAAAATTCTTTTTTTTTTACCCTTTTGTTTTTCTTGGAAGTGGTGACTGGAGTTACTTCTGCTTGCTCAATTCGTACCTTGGCCGAATACTTGGAAGATTTTACCTTTTTCTCTTTGATGCATGACGATTCCAGCTCTATTTTCGGTCTCCTCGTCCTTGCTTCTGAAGCTTTTAGAATCGGCTTAATGTCGGGTGGCTTTTTTTTAGGTAAGTTTGCCGGCTTTTCCTCTACAATGATGTGCATTTTATCTACAGGGGTTGTAAGGCTCTGTTCTTCATTGAAGGCACAAGATGCTAGAGCATCTACCATCTCTCCACTTTGTTGGCTTTCACTAGCTTCTGCATGCTGTGCTGGGGCATCTGACGGCTCAGTATTTTTCAAATGCTTCAGCATCACTTTTGCTTCCAACTTCTCTATTAGAGCTTCATCCAAAATCTTTAACATTGAGCATTCTTCTGATTTAGCAGGACATTTTATGGAGTCATAGACTGAAAACTTGACTTCCTGATCTTGCACCCGTACCATCATCTCGCCCTTTTAGACATCCACAAGTGCTCTTCCAGTTGAAAGAAATGGTCTTCCCAAAATGATAGGAACCTCCTTATCTACATCATAGTCCAAAATAATAAAGTCAGCAAGGAAAATAAACTTATCTACTTGCACTAAAACATCCTCAATTTTTCCTTCAGGATATGTGATTGATCAGTCTGCTAACTGCAATGTGACTGTTGTCAGCTGCGCTTCTCCTGTCCACAACTTCTTATAGATGGATAAGGGCATGAGATTGATACTTGCCCCTAGATCGTAGAGTGCTTGGCCTATCTTTTGCCCTCCTATAGACACTGGTATGGTGAAGCTTCCAAGATCCTTCGTCTTTTCCAGAATTTTGCTTGTAAGGATGTTGCTGCAGGCCTTAGTCATTGTCACCGTTTCGTATTCTCTCAACTTTCTTTTCTTTGTAAGAATGTCCTTAAGGAAGCGCACATAAGTCGGCATTTGCTCCAGCGCTTCCACTAGCGGTATGTTAACATGAAGCTGCTTCAGCACATCAAGGAACTTTCTAAATTACAGATCCTGCTCTTTCTTTTGCAGTCATTTTGGGTATGGTGGTGCAGGTCGATACTCGGTTGGAGCATTTTCATGCTCTGTCCGCTTCTGTTTTCCCATTGCTTGTGACTTCGCTGCTCCAGCATTGGATGCCCTAGCTTCTACTGGGTTGACCTCTTCGCTTGTGTTGCTTTGCAGTTCCACTATATGCGCACTACTATTCATTAACTGCCTGAGGTTTGCCCTTTTTTAACTGGCATGATTATAGGTGTTCCATCCGACTCGCATGCTTCTGTTTGTAGCCCACGTCCTTCATCTTGATTTAATTCTTTATGGATTCTTGGAGCATTTGGACGAGCAGTAGGCAATGTCTTGCCACTCCGTAATGTCAGAGCATAACATTGCTCCTTCTCATCCCTCTTGGGCACCTTAATATCACTAGACAACGCTCTATTGGGTCTACTTTTTAGATCTGTTGCCAACTGACCCATTTGCATTTCCAGATTCCTCAGCGATGCTGCCTGACTTTGCACTGTGATGTCATTCTTTTCCATATACTTCTTCATTAGATTCTCTAAAGATGTGAATGATCCTTCAAATGCCCTTTGTAGTGTTACCTGACCTTGGTTTGAGAAGTTTGGGGGATAACTTCCTTTTTGCTAATATGCTGGAGCATTGGATGTAGCAGCATTGTTTCCTCCCTGATTTCCACTCTAACTAAAGTTGGGATGGTTCCTCCAGCCCGGGTTGTGCGTATTGGAATATGCGTTCTTTCCATTGTTCTGAGCATTTCTTTTGTACACTGACTCTGGATTGTCAGGGCAGTTGTTGTAATGATGCTCTCCTTCACAAAAGAGCAAGAAATCCCTTGGATGTGGCTAACATTTGCCTTACCAGCAGATGCTTCCACTGTGTTTTGCTGAGTCATGCTTCTCATCACTAAATCTGTCAAGTTTTCAATTTTCGAGTTCAAAGCAGAGTATGATTCAAATTCATTAAGTCTCTTACCTCCTCTACCGTGAATAGCTCCAGGGTCTGACCATGAATGGTTGTTCGATGATATCCTCTCCAAGATATTGAATGCTTCAGCATAAGGTTTTGCTAGCAATGCGCCATTTGCTGAAGCATCGATGACTAAGCGTGTAGCATCGTCCAAGCCTTTATAATATGTCTCAATTTGGATGCATCTTGAGATCCCATGGTGAGGGCATTTTTGCAGAAGCCGTTTAAAACGCTCCCAAGATTCACTAACGACTCCCCAATAAATTGCTGAAAATTGTTGATTTCGCTTCTGTACTTAGCATTTTTGCTTGGTGGGAAGTACTTCATCAAAAATTTTTCGGCCAAGTCGTCCCAACTTGTAATGGATTCTGGAGGCAGCGACTCCAACCAAGTCCTGGCTTCATCTCTAAGTGAGTAGGGGAACAACTTAAGCCGCAGCACTTCTTTGCTGCATCCTTCATCCTTAAACGAATTGCAAACTCCCATAAAAAACTTCAAATGCTGATGCGGGTCCTTCGTAGAATTTCCATGAAATTGATCCATTGTCTGGAGCATCTGAAACATTACCAACTTGAGTTCAAACTTTGGGTCTGCAATTTCAGGCTCCATGATTACTGGGTTGAAATTATAAAATGTTGGAGCTGCATATGCCCTGATTTCTTTGTCGATGTCATCTACTAGTAATACATCATTGAGAGAGGGCACTGCTACCTCAGGGTTAGCAGCAACAGGAACACCGTCTACTATTTCCTCAATCCTCACATTCGGTGGCTGGCACATATTTGGGTTGGGTGGATTCATGTTTGCTCCAACTTGGACTCTCCATTGTTCTCTTCGATTCCTATGAAATGTGCGTTCAATCTCGTGATCTATAATATATTCCAAGCTCTCAAAATCGTTCATGCACCTCGCAAAAACACACAACAAAATAAAAATGTGAGAACAAGAAAACTCACTTCAGCACCGTATCTACAAATATCAATGTTAAAATAAGATCACAAAAATCCCCAGCAACAGCACCAAAAACTTATTGCGTCCACACAACTGTGTTGACAACACGTGCAAGTATACACGATTTATTGGTTGTAGTACGTAACGAGGTCGTATCCACAGGGATTTTTGGTTGTATTTTAACGATAAAAGTAGATACCAACAAATAAAAATATACAAAGGTTGGTTGTGGATATTATCCAGAAAAAATAAAATAAAGTAATAACAAGACGACAGAAACTTGCAAGAGACAATAGTTCCAAGTTGTCAACACAAGGAAGCAGTAGCATAGAAAGCGATAACGGCGGAATAACAGATATGGAAAAGGCAGGGGAGATTCAGCATACTTTCATAGGTTATCAACCTACCCTCTAGCGTAACTAACATCTATTAGTACCCAGCTCAACTCGGTTCCCTTCCGAGACACCCCAAACATGAGTAAGTACAACTCTCGTTGCTAAATACCTAAGCAATAAACCCAAGCTATAGGCATGATTAGGGACCCCATTCCTGAGTATCCCTATAGCTATAGAAAAGCGCTAATCACAATCAAAACAAGTCAGCACCCACAATCCCTTCCGGGTCAATATCAGAGCTAGCATACACGAAACAGCGGCCAACAGTAACGCGAAGAATTGAGAAATAAATTTAGATTTGCTTAAAAATAAATGTAGCATGCTAGAGATTCGGTCTCAAGTCAGTTACAGCGTGTGAACCTCCCCCGAAATGGGGTTTAGCTCATAATGGGTGAAGAAAACAAAATGGAAGAAGAATAAATACAACCCATAGCAGAAAATTAGCTAAAGGACAGAGAAGAAGAGCAGTCAACGCAAAGCAGCAGACGAGCTTCCCCTTTCTGGCGTCAACTCTCCTCCCGAAAATGGGTATCTTCCCTTCCTTGGTCTTTTCAGCCCTCAAATTTTGTCTCTCTTGGGCTCTGTGCGTGTGGCGGCTGGGGCAACACGCCCCTTTTATATCAGGTTCTAAATTTAAGGCACCCAGCCGAAAATTTTTGGAATTAACTGTATTGTCACTCCATGCTCTGGCATTGCTATGCTCCAGTTTGTATATGTTCTGTCTTGAAAATGCTTTAACTGCTCTTCTCTAGTTCAGCACATCCTTCTCTTCTTAGCTCTTCTTTAAAAATTTGTTCAAATGAACCACAAATACGAGAGTTTATGCTGTTTTTGGCCAAAGTTCTCAAGACTACAGATATTTAGTTAACAATTTAAATTTTAACACTATTCATGCTAATTATGACCTAAAATCGAGACACTTTGACATTTTAATGCACATTTTCACCCAAATAAATACTAAAATAATTCTGTTTTGGAGAGTTATCACTAACCAACCTCAGCGCCCACCTATTCCACCAAATGTAAGGATTGAGGAAATAGTAGACAAATTTCCTGTTGTTGCTGACCCTAAGGTAGCAGTGCCTTCTCTCAACATTGTACTATTAGCAGATGATATCTATAGAGAGATCAGGTCGTATGTAGCTCCAGCATTTTATAATTTCAACCCAGTAATCACGGAGCCAGAAATTGCAGCCCCAAAATTTGAACTCAAGCTAGTAATGTTTCCAATGCTCCAGACAGTGGGCCAATTTCACGAACATCCTATGGAAGACCCGAATTCGCATCTGAAGTTTTTCATGGGAGTTTTTAATTTGTTTAAGGATGAATAATGCAACAAAAAAGTGTCACGGCTTAAGTTGTTCCCTTATTCAGTCAGAGATGAAGCAAGAACCTGGTTGGAGTCACTTCCTTCATAATCAATTACAAGCTGGGACGACTTGGCCGAAATGTTTTTGATGAAGTACTTCCCACCTAGCAAAAATGCTAAGTACAGAAGCGAAATCAACAACTTTCAACAATTTGCTGGGGAGTTAGTTAGCAAATCTTGAGAGCGTTTCAAACAACGTCTGGAAAAATACCCTCACCACGGGATCCCAAGATGCATCTAGATCGAAACATATTACAATGGTTTGGATGATGCCACGTGCTTGGTCATCGATACGTCAACAAATGGGGTTTTGTTAGCCAAACCTTCTGTTGAAGCATTTAATATCTTAGAAAGGATATCGTCCAACAATCATTCATGGTCTGACCCTAGAGCCATTCAAGGTAAAGGAAGCAAGGGACTGAACGAATCTGAGTGTACTCTGCACTGAATTCGAAGACTGAGAATCTGACAGACTTGGTTATGAGGAGCATGACACAATAAAGTACAGTGGGAGCGTCTGCCGGAAAATAAAATGTTAGCCACATCAAGCGATTTCTTGCTCTTTTTGCAAAGAAGATCATCATTATAATAATTACCCTGGCAATCCAGAGTCGGTGTACTATTTAGGGAATTCGTAGAATAGTAGAAATAATCCATACTCCAATATGTACACCCCGGGCTGGAGAAATCACCCTAACATCAGTTGGAGTAGAAATCAGGGAGGGAACAATGCTGGTACATGTAATGCTCCAGCATATCAGCAAAAAGGAAGTTATCCCCTAGGCTTTTCGAACCAAGGTCAGGTAGCAGCACAGAGACCATCTGAATGATCGTTTTCATCGTTAGAGATGATGAAGAAGTATATGGAAAAAAATGATGCAACAGTGCAAAGCCAGACATCATTATTAAGGAATTTGGAGATTCAAGTAGGCCAACTCGCAACATATTTGAAAATTAGACCTTATGGAGCATTACCTAGTGACACCTAAATTGCCAAAGCAGAACAGCAAGGAGCAATGTAAAGCTCTCATACTGCAAAGTGGGAAAGCATTACCTCTGGCACATCTGAATGCCTCAGGAGCAACGAGCGAGCCTACTCAGGAACGAGAATCTCCGTCAGGAAAAGAAAGTGAGCCAGCATAAGAAGTTTCACCTACACCACCAGTGCAGAATGTTGAACAACCAAGTGAAGTTCAGAATACTGCCAGTGAGAAAGTCAACCTAGTGAATGCTAGAGTATCTAATGCTGGATCATCACAAGCTAGAGTGCCTAAGAAAAAGAAGCAGGTAGAGCATGATGATGCTCCAGTAGAGTACAGACCAGCACCACCATATACCAAACGGTTGCAGAAGAAAGAGCAAAACATTCAGTTTAAGAAATTCTTAGATGTGCTGAAGCAAATGCATGTGAACATACCTTTGGTGGAAGCTCTAGATCAAATGCCAAATTATGTGAGGTTCCTAAAAGAGATACTCACAAAAAAGAGAAAGCTAGAAGAATGGTAGCAATGACAAGGCATGCAGCACTATCCTCATAAGCAAGATTCCATCAAAGATGAATGATCATGGGAACTTTACCATACATATTTCCATTGGAGGACAGAAGATAGGACTTGCACTGTGTGATCTCGGAGCCAGCATCAACCTCATGCCTCTATCCATTTATAACAACCTGGGAATAGGAGAAGCAAGACCCACCACGGTCACTTTGAAGCCATCAAATCGGTTTATCACGCATGTAGAGGGAAAAATTGAAGATGTTCTGGTACAAGTAGATAAATTTATTTTTCCCGCTGACTTTATTATTTTGGATTATGATGCAGATAAAGAGGTCTCT